ATGAAGAATCTCACCAGCGCTATTCTGGTTAAAATAGTCAGAACTAGTGCATCTACCGGGTCTTTGTCATATTGTGAGGACTTATTTTTCTAGTATTTGTTTTAACAATCCAATATGTACTACTTCTGTGTGAAACAATACTCGCGGTATTTCGGACAGTTATGGAGAAGGCAGGAGAATTACCAGTAAAAACATATACATTCAGCATGGAGATGAGTTGTGAAGGATGTGCCAAAGCTGCCAAGAGGGTTCTTATGAGTCTCGGAGGTAAGTTAGACGGTTTGAATCCAAATATTATGAGTAGATGCCATAAAAAACGTCGAAACAAATGTTCAAAATAATACAGTTACTGTTCAAACTAATTTATCAGCCGACGATGTCCTCCGGAAACTTGAAGAAACACAGAAAAAGATTGTTCTGGTATCTTCTTAGGCGAAAGCGATCGAAATTCATGACGCGATGGTCAATCTACTGCAGAATTTTATAATTGAAAAAAAGTATTCTCATACCACTTGGAACTTGAGATACGGCTTATTTGCGTTTATTCAACTGTGATTTGCTTTTAAATTTTAATTATTCAAAGAAAGTGATTTTTATTACAATTTTCGTGCATTTTTGTGTTGACCATGACTACAGCCATGCATACATGCGGCAGTCTTAAACAGTTATTTTAGATGCATTTACTGTTAAAAGTCCTCCGGATGCTTATTATCTGTGTTGCGCATATTAAATAAACTCGCCTCACATAGGTCACATCATAAGGAATGGCTCCTACTTTATTGTAGACATGTAAATATCTAAAAACAGTTGTTTGTCACTTTTTTACAACAGGTCAGCAGTTAATGTAGTTAACTGAGCTAAATGGCTTACTACTTTGAGTCTATTTTTTATGTAATAACCTGGCTACTTTTTCAGTAAGGAAACTGTTTATTCCATTCTGTATATACAGGCAGTTAATTTAACACTCAGGCAACTTCATGTTTTTGTGAAGATTTCTAGTCCTTACACTCATAGTTACTCAATCTTATGGCTTCACGAACAATCCTATTCAGCAAATCATTTTACGAATAACTAGTAACACTCCTCAATCTCTTCCCAACACAGTAGCTTATAAGAGTTGGGAGTTTGTGTGCGTTCATATTCTGTCATTGCTGGCAAAGATAAAACTTCTAAATATGGCGACCAGTTTTCAGAAATAATTCAATATATTCTCATCAAGCGTTACGAGATATGGCGTGAAAATTATACCTGCTACGTCAACGCTGCAAACAAAGAGTGATGGGAATGGTGTGGCTTTTATGCTTCATTCTAGCGTGATCATCCCCATTATGATATTATTATCGTACCCTCGGGTTCCCGGTGGAACGTATGGGCTTCAGAAGCACACCTCTGCAGTCCTCTTTAGCTGGCACCACGATCGCCTACCACCTCTCATATCCTTACGATCTCCTTGTCAACCTCAGATGACCCTCTTGTTGTTTCGCATTCGGGTTCCATTCGAGCGATGTCATTCAGCGGCCTCCTCAGTGTGTGTTTGATTCATTTCCATTTTCTTCTGTATATTTGTTGAGTATTAGATCCTTTGTTGATTTGTCTCCATAGTTTCTTGTTGTTAAATCTTTCTGGCTGGCCATTTGATCTTCAATATGGAGTGGAAGCAGTTGTTGATAGTAGTTTGCAGCACCTATTTGGACATGCTTTCTGCGACGAGCAGAGTTTCTGACACAGAAGAGCTGACTTAACACTGGTGTTGAAAACCGGAACCTTGTTGTTTATGCTGAATGCAGATTTTCAAACTGACTTTACAGTGATAAAGGTAAAATCTGCGTTGCCTTTCCGATTCTGGTTTTGACATCCTCATCCGTTCTGCCTGTAGTTGAAACGATGCCACCTGAATAAGTGAAAGAGTTAACCTCTTTGAAACCCCTCCCGTTGATGTTGATTAGTGCTTGTTGTTGGTTAGGTACCTTCATCACCTCCGTTTTCTTTATGTTCGCCTGGAGTCCTGTCTTTGCTGCTTTTTCTGCAGGTTGGTGGTTTTCGTCTGTAGATCTTGGAGTTTTATGTGACATTAGAGATAAATCAGCTTCGGAATTCAGATCTTCATGAATCTTCTTATCGTCGCTATAGTTTCATTGAAATTTCTCGGCATTATGTTGTTTTATATATTTCCAGTACATCTTAAAAAGTGTAAAACGTTAAATCTGGTTAGTTTAGTTTATTATGAACAGCCTATTTCCTGTCGATGTATATTTCTAACCACTAAAATGTTTTAGTCACTCTGATTATTATTGTTGTTAAATCCTTCCAAAATACTCTGAAGTAAAATTTACTACGTCAGAATGTGAACAAAAGTGAAACCGTAGACAGTGATAAAAGAAAGCGGTGGCAATAATTTAGCATAAACCTTTCACAGGAATCTCGCCACTTACGATTCGGTAATGTACTATCTTACATTCGGGCATGGACGTAATATTCAAAAACCTATGATATATATACAAACAGCAAACTTTGAGATACGTGTGTTGTTAAATTATGCTGATCAGAGATATGTATACATCACAGTAAGTGTGATCACTTCAGTATGCCTAGTCATCGCCTTCCTCGACGGGCAATGTTAGCTGACATAGGGCCAGGCTGGAAAAGAGCTAGCGGCGGTCAAACCAAAACATGGCACCAATCAATGAAATCCACAACAGTTAGTCTAAGTCACGTAGGGAGATGTAGACTTCCTGGTTGGGGTCCTCGGGATGGTAAAAACAAATGGTTGGAAACAATTGGTGACATGGCTCAAAATCGTTCTCAATGGCGCAGTTGCATCCACTCCTTGTGACTTATGATTTCCGATGAAACTGTTTTGTTCTTCGTTATTACTACTCCTTTGTCTCACACCTCTGTTTACTATCTATATTATGCATTTCTTCTACTTCCTTCTCTTGCTTTGCGTGCTACATAGATTGTGGCGACTTGAACTGCCGCACATATGTGCAAAGTTCTATGTCGAAAACAGACAGACAGACAGATGAAATATAAAGGTTAAATTACTCTGTTAGTTTCATATCAGATTGTGCTGCTTTTCTTATTCATAAATGTGCGATGACATTATATAGTTTTGATAATAAAAATTATGAGCTGTTTCGAGGTATGATAACGTGAAATGATGCACCTGGATGCAATTCTGCCTTTAGTTTGCTGCTAGTGAGTTGTGAATATATATTGAAAAAAATCTTGGGCTACTTCAAAACTCAAATTTTTACATTTTAGTATTATATACACTTAAGTAGCTTATATAACTTAAAAAATCTGGAGATTTATGTCCAATGTCACACAAAATCGAAGACTTGCAGGCACTCAAAAACCAACGAACTGACAGAAGAGGTGAGCAGCGAAGACAGGACTGCAGGTGAACATATAGAAGACGGAGATGATGAAGATAACCAACCAATCAAACAGAGAGGTTATTGAACATTAGCACTAGACAAGATGTATCTTACTCGTTAGCCATACCTAGTAGATTCCTCTAAGTTTTTTATACAGTCGATCGTATGTCATCTCCAGCTTTTACACTAGCGACTGAAAGTTTTCGGATATTTCATTCACTTTTACAGGTTGATAGGAGTATTGATTAATTTCCGTAAGAAAATAGAGATCAATATCAGTTATACCACTTAGTTGAAGACAGTAATTACCGCGAAATAGAATCCAATGCATTTTCATTACAGACTTCTTTGTTTTGCCCAGCTTACACTGTTATTTCAGCTAACAGGAGTGATGAGTTATTTGACAAAATGAATTATTCAACCTGATGTCCTAAATAAACCTAACTATATAACTATAAGGTCTCATAAATGCATACAACTAACACTTGTGTAAACAGTTAGATTTTTAATTTACATAACAATTAACTAATTGTTGTGACATGCATAAGAAACTAAGTGCAGGTGAAAATATTTCTTTAATCTAATTTCACTTCATAGATTTCGTCAGGAACCAACATCAGTTAGAGAGATCATTGGAAACCAAGGAGCAATGAACAGCTGTTTCATTCTAGTTTTGGAATTCTTCAGCAGTATACGCCATCAAACAACACCAGGATCTCCGGGTTACGAGACCAAATTCGTTGGTCATTCAGTCATATGGGTGAGAATTCAAAACTGACCATGAATTCTGATATTGTCAATTCATGATAATATAGCGCTAAACTAACCAATGCCTTTGCTGAGCACTCACTATAACCGCGAATTAACAGGAATTGGAATTCATAAGTTAGTGAGTTTTGGTCCGGGTGTCTGAATGGTTAACGAGCTTGGTTTCGCAACCTGAAGGTCCCAGGTTCGAAACCTGATGAAGTTGTGAGTATGCACTGTTTAACAGATGTGTTACGCATGCTTAGCCATCGCCTTCCTCGAGGGGCGTAGGATCAGTTTGGAAAAGAGCTAGTGGTGATGAAACCAACACATGGTTTAATCAGTCAATGAAATCCACAACAGTTAGTTTAAGGAATCCATGTAGGGAGGTGTTGACTTCAAGGTTTAGGGTCCGCAGGATTGTGAGAACCAATGGCAGCTGGAGACAATCGGTGATATGGCTCAAAATCGTTCCCAATGGATGGGCGCAGATTTCTCATATCCAATAAAACTCTATTGCTCTTCTATATTACTATTCTATATCCCTCACACTTCTGCTTATTATCTCTCTTTCGAAACTATCTTTACTCTCTTCTCTTGATTTGTGCTACTTGAAGAGAGTGGCAACTCGAACTGTTGTACAACTGTGCAAAGTTCTATGTTGAAGCTAGTCAGTCAGACTGTTGAGCAGTCTCAAAATAGGACGAAACAGCTATCCAGGGCTGCTTGGTTTTCACAAAGATCTTCCTGACTGATGCTTGTTCGTGACGAGATTAAAATAATCCAAATCCCCGCCCTCCCCTCCACAAATTCAATAATCTAGATTTCTTTACACGACTGTTGAAGGAGGACACCAATATATTTCGAATGTATGTTTTGAACAATAAAAACAAAACAACCATACGAAAAGTTGTAGTTATTTATAGTAACACAAAAAGGCATAAAAATGTACACAGCAATTCAAAGTTTATGAGATTATTTCTTGTTAGGTTAAAATATAATAATATCAATTCATAAAGAACGCGCACAGAGAATTTACAACTGAGAATCTTTTGTTTCATACACACACACAAAAAAAATAAAAGAACTTTCGTTCTGTTTTTTTTTATAATTATTCATCTTTCGGTTTTTTAACTGGCTTCGGTTTATTGTCATCACCAGCTTCATGCGGTACTACGGATGTTGTTGTTGTTGCTGCTGCTGTTGTCCCTGTAGTATGCTCTCTACTTCCGTGTTCAAAAGATCCAGCTAGCCAAAATCCTGTGACTAGTATAAGACCAATAATTATTAGGAAACTGAACAACGCTATCACTCCAAACATTAGGACAACAGGTTTACCAAATTCACCTTGTAAATTCTGAATAGCACAATAGAAAATATAAAGAGGAATACAAAGAAACAAAAAACGTTAGAAAATTTTTTCAGTGAATAAATGGGATTTCATGATAACTAAGTTACGCACAATACTTTAGTTACTATTATATAGTAAACACATCTTTTGAGGAATGCATGCGGGACTTTTAAGTCAAAGTATGCTTTGCTTTTCAGTATAACTTACACTGTATATTCATCTGCCTTTTTTAACATAGGAAAAGCAAGATAGTTAGTCCTTAAGCCTAGTGTTTGCAAACGACGTACTCGTGTAAAGAATGCAGACAAGAGATTTGTTGTTTTCAATTTCGGCTACTTCTTATCAATCTGCGTTTATATTATTATTATTATTCCCTTGGGTTTTGAGTGGAACATAGGCCTTTAACGACACATCGCCACTTTGTTCTATTTTCTGCTTTCCTCTTCAACTGGCTAACTCCACGATTGCCAATAATCCGTCATCTCTTCCCCCCCGGACGATCTTCATGTCACTGTCGCACTGACGACCTACTCTTCGCTTCCCATTTGGATTCCACTAGAGTGATGGCCTGCATTGCGCTCCATGTCATTCGGCGGTCTCCTCAACGTATACCCAGTCCATCTTCATTTTCTCCTACCTATTTCTTGAGCGATCGACTCTTGGTTGGTTTGTTCCCAGCCGGAGTTTCTTGTTGCTAATTACTTTTGGCTGGCTGGTCGGCCATTCGATCCTCAGTATGGAGCCAGCGAAGGTGGCAGTTGTTGATGAAAGTTCGCAGTGGCTTGTTGGAAATCCTTTCCGCCATACAAGCGCAGTGTAAGTTTCTGAGCCGTGTAGAAGAACTGCCTAACTTCACATTTGTACTGAACAGAATCCGAATCTTGTTCTTTATGATTTCCAAACTGGTTTCAGGTTGATGAAGGTGTATCTTGCCTTTCGGATTCAAACTGGTTTTGGCATCTTCATCCGTTTCGCCCGCCTGTGCTTTCTAGCCGGCTGGATAAGTGAAGGAAGTAAGCGCTGTCAAATCTCTCCCTTTGATGGTGATTGGTTGCTGTTGGTTATATATATACTACTGATTAAATCTTGTCAGAGTAACACACGCGCCGCACTCTCACTTCATGAACAGCTAAGTTAAGCGTTTACCATAGCCACCAAATAATCCTAAACAATTAAACTTAGAGAAAGATTTTAAAAACCCTTTAAGTTTGTTGTTAAAATTACAGATTTAAATATTTAGACTACTACTTAATAGGACAATTCTTCGCTAAGCTAATCTTTTAAGTATTTAAATAAGACATTAAGAGCATTCTCCATTCCTGTGTCTACAATCAAAGGACGAAATACTGTAGACTCTATTGCATCCTGTATCTACAAATTCACCTGCAATTGTGGCGACACATATATGGATGTAGATCCAATAGGAATGTTCCAGTTTCGTCAGAAATAATATCTTCCAAAAGGGAGTTATCAAGTCATATGGAAAATCCAAATGTGCTTTTTTCTGAATAGAAATTCAGCATCATCATCATGCATTGTAAAGCATTCACTAATGTCTGGTTACAAAACCACTATTAATAACTGCTTCACAATTATTTCACATAACTTCAATTTATGACTACTACTGGAAGCACTCAGGAATAATCACATGCATTTCAAACTATATTATGTAATAGAAGACAATAGACTTCAACCTTTTCCTACCACAGGCTACTTGACCTAGTGAAATATGATTGGTTATTAGTAGTATGTAATTTTGTCTTGTAACCAGAAGGTCCTGGGTTCGAACCCCGGTGGGTGCGTACCGCTGAAGAGTCCCAAACTAGGACGTAGGAAACAGCTGCCCAGTACTCCCAGGTTTTCCAATGGTTCTCTAACCAATATCAGCTCATGATGAAATTCTGTAACAAATCAACCAAATCCCTACAAACCAATACTTGAATATTGTTTATACACTTTATTTTATATTATTATCAGCCTTCCTAGTTGTAAGGCGATTGATGATTGTAGAGCGACTACGAAATAATAACGTCATCTTGTGATATTTGTCTTCTTAATGCCTTATTTATCAAAGGGATTAACTATTTCAATTTAAAAAAGTATTATTGAATCAGATTAGCAAAACACATACATAGCATGTATGCATGCATGCGACACTAGTGACATGATCAGTTGGTCGCATCAAGTTTATTTTCTAAAGGTTGATTGTATCGTGTTACCATCGTTTAACTTGCTTCATCCAGTAAGGCAACAGTTTCAATTCTGAAACTGCTTTACCCTTTCATCATTCACTAGTAATGACTGACTTGCATAAAATGACTAGGCAATACTAACAATTTTGAAGAGTTAATTTGTAAGGTTTAGATTGTTTTTCAAGTTTGACCACGGATTGATATCAGTTAAAGAAACATTGAGAATCAGCTGTGAGTACTGGGTAGCAGTTTCATCCTATACAGGGACTCATAGGCAGTACGCACCCACCATAGCGGTCCGAACCCAGGAACTTCCGGTTACAAGGCGAGAGAGCTCGTATACCATTCAGCCACTGGGACCCATGAATTCTAACTTCTACCAATTCGTAATTTTAGCGCGACCACCAACCAATATCATCGGTGGGAACTCCATCCTCACCCTCGACTGGATGGACCTTATCGGTCACGAATTTTCACTAGAACTGCAGGAAACTTCGTCCTGTATCGAGTCACTAAAAAGCATCAGATTAATTTTCAAGATTTTGACCACGAATTGATATCAATTAGCGAACCCTAATGGGTGCGTACTGTCGATGATTCCCAAACTAGGCTGATGAAACAGCTGTCCAGTTATCCGTGGTGGTTTTCAATGGTTCTCTAACTGATATCAATCCTTGGTCAAACTCGAGAATATTGAGAAACAAGATTCCAGCAATGACTGTGAGCAAACAGAACACGTCAATAGAAGGTAGGATGGCTTTGTGGCTAGAGTAAGCATTTAAATGTTTTATAAAAGAAAGAGGTGTCCAAAGAAAAGTTACACTTTTAAGGGATATCATTCTCAAGCTATACACTCGTATATATATATATATATATATCTTAACAGCAAAAGGAATGTTTTCAAAGATACGTCATTCGGATTGTAAATTTTAGATAATAATTGCATGTCATTGAAAGCGTTAATCGGTCAGAAACTGAAATAAAATTAACTATGTAAATTGAGTAAAGTGATGTAGTTGACAGGATTGAGTAAAACTCAACCAAAATTGAAAGACAATCAAGCTGAGGACAGTTAAAATAAAGAGTAGATATAGGCAAGTGAAAAGCAACAAGTTGGCAGAAGAAGCATCCAGAGAAGATAGGCCTTCAGGTGGACATAGAGAAAACAGAGGTGGTGATGAAGATTCCTGGCCAACACCAACAGCAGTAACAACTATAAGCATAAGCGGGAGGAACCTGAAAGAAACTACCTCTTTTATCTACCTGGGAAGCATCGTTTCAACTACAGGCGGAACTGAAGAGGATATCAAAGAAGCGAGGATCGGGAAAGCAAGACAAGCTATTCATTACTCCCAAGTCTGTGTGGAGGTCAACAGCATTCAGCGTGAAAAATAAGATCCGGATAAGAGACTTGGTGTGTCATAAAGAGCATCTCAAACAAACTACAGACTTTCATTAACAGTTGTCTTCGCTCAATACCCAAGATCAGATGGCCGGCCAGAAAAGATCAGCAACAGGGATCTCTGGCAATGAGCGAACCAACCAGGAACCGACTGTGAAACAAATAGGCAGGAAGAAATGGAGATGGATTGGCCATACTCTGAGGAAACAATGCATCAAGTGACATCACTAGACAAGCCATTGCTCGAGTGGAACCCGAAAGGGAAGTGGCGAGTTGGTCGTCAATGCAAGGGTGATTTGGAGGAGGTCATGTGAAGAGGAGATGAAAACGTGTGGGTGGCAGACACGCAGCCAGGTGAAAACTTTAGCAGAGAACCGAACGCAGTGGAGACGCGTGGCTGAAGCCCTATGTTCCTCTAGGAATTAAATAGGCAGAATTAAAGTATCACAGCCAAAGTCAAGGTCTTACAAAAGTTGGCTTTCAAGAACAGGGAGTGCTATGAAATGTCATTCCAAATCAAACCAAGCCTGCCTTTCTGAACTTGAAGAGGGTAGATAGAGTATTCTGTTTACTTCCTAGGTACTTTTTCTACAAATCTATACTGTTAGGTAAGGTTATGACTTATAAAAGTAAGGTTTAGGGTTAAGGTTAGGAATAAGTTTGTGCGTCGGTGGCATAGTGGTTAGGACACTTGCCGACCATGCACATGGTCCGGGGTTCGATCCCCGGTTGACGCACTCCTTTACCTCGCTAAACCAGGAAAGGTTGGGCATGAGGCTGGCAACCTCATCCTGTAAAACAAACACTGCTACAGAAACTTCAAGCCACTAGCTTGAAGCCCTATGTTCCACTGGGGAACGTGAAGGAGATAAAAAAAATTAGGAATAAGTTGAAGAAAAGTGTCAAAAATATCAACGGATCTCAAAGTACCATGATCTGTATTCACCCAGATGAATAGATATATTGTGCATGGTACGATTTCTCTATAGATCATCTGTGTATTGGCTGAGAAACATTGTTACAACACATAAGCTACAAATATATGGTTTAATATCATGTTTGCAATACTTTTTTAGCGTATTTTTCAACGATTATACGACTTTTTCGTATCTGAATTCCGATTGGTCGTTCAGCGTCACTGTGGTTTTGACTATGATATTATCTACTCTTGTATGTATTTAAAATATTTACAAAATCCTGATTTGCAAGTTTCAACTAAACTTGAGGAATAAATAGCCTGATTGTAGATGGCAACGTGTTCCAATATATGAGATATTTGTTCTTCAGCTGAGTCCTTAGATCCCAAAATGTACTTATGAAAATCTTACAAATGGCTTTCAACTAGATCGATATCGTGGATTTCTCGAAGGAGATAAGGCAGATGCATCAGAATGGAATGGTTTGTGCTTCAG